CGGGCGGGGCGGGGCGGGCCGGGCGGCAGGTGTGGGCCCGGAGGAGGAGCGCGGGGGCCGGGGCCGCGCGAGGGGAGGGAGGGCAGAGGAGGGAGAGGAGGGCGACCCCCTCCCGCGGCGCGGCCCTCCCGCCGGGGCGCTCGGAACTCCGGAACCGGGCGGGCGACCTTCCGCCTCCGCACGGGATGGCGAGCGGGGCCCCGCGTCCTCAGTCGCCTGCAGTGGTGGCGCCATGACCCGGGGTGTCCTCTCGGAGGAACCGACCCCCCCCGGGGGAAAGACGCTTTCAGGGAGGCTTTTGGGGGGGGGGTGGTCAGCGGAGCGGGGGGGCGCCGCGGAGCTGTTCGGCGGGTTTTCTGGGTCAGAGGCTCCCTGGGACTGGGGCCGGGAACGGCGTGTTTGCGCCCGCGTGTGCCTGAGCAAAGCCCCAGTTCGCTGGGGACGCCCTGGCCCGGGTCTGCGTGCGCCCGAGCGAGCTGCCACTGTATTCTTGTAGTGAGAGCGGTGGAGCGGCGAGGGGAGGGGAGAGGGCACTGCCACTTTAAAAGTGGGGAAGTCCGCCCTCCTGAGGTAATGGTAACCTCAGCCTCCTCCCCTCCTCCTGCCCGAGAGAGGGAGCGAGAGCCGGCGAGAGAGCGAGCGAGCAAACTTGTTTTCATTCATAACTTTTTCCTTTTCCTTCCTCGCCGTCAACTCTTTATTCCCCGCTTGTCTCCGCGCGGATTGCAGAGGGCGCAGCTCCACCGCGGTAGCCGGCGATGTGGCGACGCCGCTCTGCAGCCCCTGCCCCTGGCTCGCTGCGCCCCGGCTCTTTAGGAATCCGGCTTCTCCTTTAAAGTGTAGACAGCTATTTATTTATAACCCTCCCTGACGTGGGCTTGCTTTTTGGCGCCCGCGTTCGCTCTGAAGGCTCTCCCCGATTTGTGAGCCTCCTTGGTGGCATACGCCAAGAGGTTTTGGAAATCCACGGTGATCCTTAGGATGTGATGGGATTGTCCGAAAAGGTATTCGACTTCGATTCGGGGGTTTCTTGGGGAAGACACTCCGCCGAGAGCGTGTGAGCGTGTTTGGGGCTAGATCGAGGACTGTCACTGCTGGAACAGGGGGTTTGCTTCAGATCAGAGGCGGCCGAGTCTCTTCGCTCTTTCCTTTTATCCGGTGGTCTCCGCCACCGGCCAGCGTGAACTTTGCCACAGCTAGCGTTTAAAACTCAGATTCAAGTGCCTGGTGTTTTATCTGCCCTCTTCAAATTCACCGTTTTTCCTTTCGTGTGGAATCCGCCTTTACTACCTTTAGGTACTCTCTGCTTTAAAAGCATTGGGTTAAAAAGTGCTTTGCGAGGAGGAATGATATTGTGCAGAGTAACGATGGAATCTTTTGAACAGCCCTTAAGGATTCCAGGACTAAACCCAGCAGGTTGCGAATGTGTTTCTCCTTCTGTACAGAGAAGGTAGAAGAAAGTAGAAACTCGAGGATCTGAGTTGGGAGAATGAGGGAGGGGAACGCCAAGAAGTTAACATGTAAGACTTAGTCGGGGGACATTGAGTGAAGTTAAGAGGTGAAATGGACTTCTTTCCGCTTTATTCCTTAAGCTAATGTGTTGGGCTCAAGGTAGTAGTGGGGAATGGGCATTTTTTTCTTTTCATTCTTGAATTGGATCAAATCTGTAGGCTTTGGGAGGAATTTGTGTGAAAAATGTTTTAGTCTACCATTGACTGAAAACAGAGACGTTCTTATGTTTGATTGTTTTATGAAGAAGACATTATAAATTAGAAACTATTAACTATTGGTGTGGAAACAAATGCTTATTTTTATCAGGATACTACTGTACTTTATTACAAGAAGCACATGGATTCAGAGTTGGCAGTGCCTTTGAAAATCAAGATCTGTCATGTAAATATAGATTTTTAAATTAGAGGAAATACACATAATTTAAATGGCCAGGATTTCCCCATACTACTAAAGGCCTAACACTTACTTGTGTGTGAAAGTTATCTCATTAGGTGAGTGAGCCCTTATTTAAACTTAAAAAAAAAAATTCTTTCATGATTTCAAATGTGAATACTCTTAACGTTCACTGAACTGTACATTAAGTTTCGTGTGTGTGCTTTAGAGGCTATAAAACACAAAGAACTGTTGTATTTGTCTACATTTGCATCTTGTACATTAATAATGAGCTAGCTTTAAAATTTTGGTTTCTCCTGAAAAATGACCTCTTATTTTGAGATTCCATTTTAGTTTGGAATCTCTTTGATTTTTTTTTTTTTTAAATACATGAAGTATACCTTGACTAATTTCCTCACCATTAACCTAATGCTTGTAACAGCAAACAAATAACAGAAGGCAACAGTGCCAAAGCCATTCTTAATATTTTTTAAAGAGTGGCTATTTTCCTTTATGGGAAACACCCATGAACTGCTACTGAGCTCTCTTTAGATGAGAGCTGTTTATTAGGGCTCATACTCAATATTCCCCATGAGGGCATACTCCATTTTAATTGTTTGTTAGATTCACAAACAGGAAGACATTACTTCTTGATTCTGCTTTTTAAAACTTGAAAAAACTTCTAATTCTTATGGCATGGGGTCTCTTGCTTACATTCTTCTTCTCTGATGTGGTCCTCAGCCTCTCTTAGAATTGGACTCTGGCCAGGACCCCAACATCATTGTAATCCACTGATGAGGGAGATCATTACCAGGTGGTTTAGGCAATTTGTGACTTGACAGGATTTCTCGCATCCCCCCTCCCCCAAATGCTTCTCCTCATTTATTTTTTCTCTGTTTTTTTCATCTTTGATTTCCTTTTAGGATTTCAGATGCATGCCAGGTTTCCACTGATTGCCAGAATTCAAGATCACTACACATGGATCCCCAAAATCAACATGGCAGTGGCAGTTCATTAGTTGTGATCCAGCAGCCTGCTTTGGATAACCGTCAGAGATTAGACTATGAGAGAGAGATTCAGCCTGCTGCTATTTTGTCCTTAGACCAGATCAAGGCCATCAGAGGCAGCAATGAATACACAGAAGGGCCATCAGTGGTGAAAAGACCTGCTCTTCGAACAGCACCAAGACAAGAAAAGCATGAAAGGACTCATGAAATCATACCAATTAATGTGAATAATAACTATGAGCATAGACCTACCAGCCACCTGGGACATGCGGGACTCTCAAATAATACCAGAGGCCCCATATTGAGCAGATCAACCAGCACTGGAAGTGCAGCCAGTTCTGGGAGCAACAGCAGTGCCTCTTCTGAGCAGGGGCTGTTAGGAAGGTCACCGCCAACCAGACCAGTCTCTGGTCACAGGTCTGAAAGGGCAATCCGGACCCAGCCCAAGCAACTGATTGTGGATGACTTAAAGGGTTCCCTGAAACAGGACCTGACACAGCACAAGTTCATTTGTGAACAGTGTGGGAAGTGCAAGTGCGGAGAATGCACAGCTCCCAGGACCCTGCCATCCTGTTTGGCCTGTAACCGGCAGTGCCTTTGCTCTGCTGAGAGCATGGTGGAATATGGAACCTGCATGTGCTTGGTCAAGGGCATCTTCTACCACTGCTCCAATGACGATGAAGGGGATTCTTACTCGGATAATCCTTGCTCCTGTTCACAGTCACACTGCTGCTCTAGGTACCTGTGTATGGGAGCCATGTCTCTGTTTTTACCTTGCTTACTCTGTTACCCTCCTGCTAAGGGATGCCTGAAGCTGTGCAGGGGGTGTTATGACTGGATCCATCGCCCTGGGTGCAGATGTAAGAACTCCAACACGGTCTATTGTAAGCTGGAGAGCTGCCCCTCCCGGGGTCAGGGTAAACCATCATGATTTTTGGAGGTGGGTTGGGCCTCCTGAACTTCTAGCTTTCAAGCTGTGGCTGTTATGAAAAGATCCTGTTAGATCCTGGTTTTATTTTCTTTGCAGTTTTTCCCTGTTTCCCACATTCTCTCCCCCTCTTCCCAAGGTTTGACTCATGGATTTCACTCTAATGGTTGATCTTCAGTAACAGTGAACTGTGAAACTGCACCTGGCTGCCCCTTATGACAAGAGCCTCTGCCATCCACTCGAGAGGATATTGAGAGCCAGGGGGCTTTTGTGTAGCCTTTTTGTTCTGCAAGCAACTTTCCGAAGTTGTACACATGAACATACCCACACACACACCCAGACTACAGTGATTTAGAGCTGTTTTTGATTGGGTACTCTGGGAGCAGGGAAATTGGTTTTTTAAAGAGGCAACCATTTAATTGCTTAAATAAGCTATGTATTAAATCTGTCTCCAATTAGGGCTCTCTTCATAGCATTGGACCCTTAAGTAGCAAGGGGGATATGTTTCTGTTATAACATTAAAGTTCTCCTTTAACCACTGCCTTCTCCTTCTTGCCCCTCAACGTTCTCTCCCCTCAGTTCTGGCATTATCTTATTCTAGAGATGCCAGTTTTGTTTTCTGGGTTTTTTTCCCGTGTAATTTTAGATTCGCTTTACAATATAAATCTTCACATTGGAGATATATTAGTTGTATCTTGTTCATCCTCGTTCAGAGCTTTCGTATTTGTGAAGGACTCGGCTCCCTTCCATACCCCCACGCTTTTCACCAAATTACTCTTGTCACTGAGGGCACTTGGATGACTGAAGTTGATATTTATAGCTGATCGATCTATACATGTCACAGAACTATGCTGCCTAAAGTGATCTTGGCTCCTTAATGGTTTTTGGACCCTTTGGTTAGTTAACAGCTGAGTAGTTCTAATCTTTTCTGTTTTCATTGCCTTAACCACAAATTGTGGTGCTTTTTGTATATTTTATGTATAAATCACAAAGTTGAATTCTGACTATTTTTAAGACAAAAGTCTGTTAAACTTTTTTATTGTAAAGAATATTTATTATGCGAATCTATTATTTTATGATATTTATTGCAAAAACTGTTGAAATGTACTCATGTCTGAATATAACAAAATATCAATACATAACGGAAAATAAGGTGACACCAAGAAAGTACATATGTTAACTATAATGCAGAAAATATATTAATTAATGAACCTGTCTCTTGATTTCTTCATTTATTAGCCTGTACTGTTGTGGTGATTTTTGTCATTTGCTTCGACTCTTTCGTCATGCATACCCATTTTCTTTCTTTCCCTTAACATACCAAATCTAGATGCAAGTGAGCTCAAATTTTGAACTAGATGTTTCCTGGAAAGTGCATTAATCAAGATTTTGTAATCCAAATTGTGTTTCAACAAATGCCTGAGTAAATCACTTTACAGAGTGAAAAAACTTTTTTTGTAATTAGTGTTAACAATTCCTGCCTCTTTTGGCTATTTTGTAAGCAAGGGGTTTTGTGTATGTCATAGTTTCTTGCAATGGGACATATTTGTTAAGTTTCAAAAGAAAAATGTTTATCTTAACTCTCTTGGATTAGTCAAAAATTCGTTTTCATCCACAAAACTTAAAGGACTTAGTTCTGCAGGCATGCTTGGAGTCTCTGGCACTGTCACTTTAATAAAACATTCTAAAAGTTAAGAGTGCACCAAGGGAATAGTTAACAGTATCAAAGAGATGTTTTAAAAACATTCCAGTCCCTACCTTTTCATTTCGTTTCATAAGTCTCTAATGTGACCTGATCAAACAACATTTTGACAATGTTTTATGGAATAAGGAATCTGAGGGCCCTGAAACTTTATATAAAGAAAGTAAATATTTTTAGTTTTTAGTCTGCTGAAGTCTCGACATGGTTAGAATCTTTGGGTCTGATAAAATTTTGTGCATGTGACCCCTCAGACTCAGTTTCACGAACTCCTCCCTATGCCTAAGTGATGTGTCAAAGCTGAATAATCTGCATTTGAGAATAAGATGTTGACATAATATGAGCACAGGATTTAGGCTGTCAAAACTCTTACCCAGCTTCTTTGTTTTGGTTGTCTCTTTACATGATTTGGCTACTAGTTTTGGAGTACTTAGCTCTTTGTAAATAGGCTTTGATTTTGGTTTAGTCTGACAAGACATAAGTGGTAGAAACTTGTTTTAATGCTTTTCCATCAAGCCACTAACCTGTTAGTTGGCATTGTGACGTTTGATATAATCAAGTATTTTCTCTGCCCTCTGAAAGCAGAAACTTTTTTTTTTTAATGAGTATTTGTGTTTTGGAGGCCATTTCATAATCTACAGTATTTCAAAATGTGAATTTATTTCCTCTTGTACTCAAGTTATGTGATGATATCACCGATTCCTTAATATTGACTATTTCATTGAAGTTTCGCTCCTTAATGAAGTGTATAAACAGACTCCCTCAAAATACTGTGTAACTTTTTTCTGTTATTTAGACCCTTCGTATAATTAGGAATTGGTGTTAAGAGCTGTCTGTAGCTATACTAACCAGACTAAGAAGCTGTAGCTTTTATTGAAAGAAATTTATAACTTTTATGAGAAATGAGGTGTGCTGTGGAGTTTTAACTTCAGGCTATACGGGGAATACATTAAAATTACAATATTAAGACGGTAGTCTCAGGCCTGTATTTGGAAGTAGCGTCTCACATGCTTGCCAGGTGCAAAGCATAAATACTTTGATTCAAAATTGCCTCCTTTGTGATGGTTTAAACCTAGAAGGAAAAAATAGTAGGGCGTGTCTTCATGAATGCTTATGAGTCCTATGCTTTTTAATACTGATGATCATTTTAATGTGCTGTGGCTTTGAAAGCATCAGCAAAGCTGAAATTTCTTATAAATTCCACTGCCATTTATTTGATACTGCCCAGTGAAAAATACCAAATAGATGGGTTAACCTTTCCTTTTTTATTCCACAATTTTGTCCCTCTTTCTCAGCTACTACAGCTTGACAGAATGAATATTTTTGTTAAATAGTTCCTTTCCAGCCTATTTTCTGAGTGCCATTCTTTTCATTCCAAGAAGTTTTATTTAGATAATTTAATTGTGAATAAAACCAATGCAGGATTGCTGTAATTGAGTAGTTTCCCGTCAACAGTTTATAAAATGTCACTCAGCAGAAAAATGGAATGTGAAAAAACAGATATGCTTCTTTTTGTGAAGGCCTAAGGTGAATCCTTAAATGATAGTCTGTTTTAATTATTATATGGTTTTCAAAATCCAAACCATAGAGTGAACATTCCAGTTATGACTAAGAAAAATAAAAATTAAAAACAGTGGTTTTTAAAATGAAAGGAAGGGAGTTAAAAACTAATGTTTTTACCCTAAAATTAATATTGGAATCAAACTCAGAGGGTTCGTTTCCAGAAGATTGATTTAATTTTTTAAACTGTCTCCTTTTCCTAAATCTTTCCTCTTTTTGTTGAGTAATGTATTTCATGGCAGTTTTTATGTATAGCTCTTTAGCAAAAAAGTACAATCCCAGGGCTTCCCTGGTGGCGCAGTGCTTGAGAGTCCGCCTGCCGATGCAGGAGACGCGGG